AGGAATGCCATAAGAGGATGTGAGCACTATGGAGGGTGGAGAAGGGTAGCAGTCCAAAGATGAAAAAGAAAAAGAAAAAAAAAACCCCACAAATGTACTATTTGCAAAGCAAGAGCTATTTGGTTTGAGTGCAGCCTGACCTATAGGTGGGACATATAAAAGAGTACACTCATGAGCAGAGAGAGTTCTAATTGGACATTGTAACCTCATTGTCTTCCCTCTGCCCCATAAATGAGTTCTTCCCCCAGCTCCAGTCCCCAAAGTCTGATCTACTTAAAACTGGAAATTGAAATCTAGACTAGAATATATCTTTTAAGAGCTTTTTTATGTTTTGAAAATTCATAAATCTTAAGTTTGGTTCCATCTGGGATACGTTTGCAAATCAGAGAAGAAAGAAAGTATCTTGAAGATCCGGCTATGGTTTCTGGAAGCAGAATTTCAACACACAATACCCTCAGATAAGGGAGCTTAGACACTTTTGGCAGTGAGAGTATTATTAATCTGAGAAGTCGAACAATGCAGTCACAGACTTTTGCAGCAAAGCCATTTGGTGAGGTTTTCTGTGTTAGTATGAAAGGCTAAGCCACTGAGAATATTTTCTGGGAGAACTTCTGAGCCATGCTGCTCATTCCTTCTATGAAAAAGATCTGTTAAAAGGTATGATTAAAATGTGGGCAGGAGAGGTAAGCATTGTGTGCATTTCGGCTCATTTTGCTCAAGCTTTAGCTGTCATAGCACCAAGATCCATAGGTTTCTAGTATCTTTTGAGTCTTGATGTGAAATGAAAGTGTATGGAGGGTTTCCTTTAACCACTAGCGCCCCAAGAGCAAGAGCCCTTCAGCTGCTTGTTTAACATACTTCAGCAGCTTTCCAATCATGGGTGACCAGGTTGTTCTTTAATTGTGTTTGTGGGATTTTCAAACCACAAATGAAGTGCTTTTTGTGAATGGGACAGCCTTGATAAATAGGTATTTTGTATTAAGACGCCAAAATGTGGCAAATTATTTTCAAGTGATAACTGAACAGAGGCTTTTTTTTTTTTTTTTTGCGGTACGCGGGCCTCTCACTGTTGTGGCCTCTCCCGTTGCGGAGCACAGGCTCCGGACGCGCAGGCTCAGCGGCCATGGCTCACAGGCCCAGCCACTCCGCGGCATGTGGGATCTTCCCGGACCGGGGCACGAACCCGTGTCCCCTGCATCGGCAGGCGGACTCTCAACGACTGCGCCACCAGGGAAGCCCCAGGGGCATTTTTGATATTTCACATCTTTTATAGAACAGCTGACTTTTCACTTCTTTTTCATTTTGAAATAGGAAAATTGTTGAGAATGTGGTGGGTTTCCATGTGTAGAGTGGAAAGGAGCTGCAGAGTAGTGCCCCCTCATTCCGATGGACACTCCTCGTGCCCTCGGGAACCGGGGCTTAGACGTCTTCTCCACATTCCACACAGACGCCTACGAGCAGCCAATTGGTGTATGAAAATTCTTCCTCCTCATTCTCTAAAACGTGTCCGCTCCCTCTCCCCCCGAAAAAAAAAAAAAAAAAAAGGAAAGGAAGAAAAGGCTCAATTATACTTTTTCTGGAAAAGGTGAGTCCTTTCCTGAAGTCTTCAAACAAATCTTACCTGGAAATTAGTATCTAATATTTTATATGAAGAAATACTTTAATGTATGTTTATACAGTATTTATTAGGTAGTTGTAACTATAAACTCAGCTACCTAGTAGAGTTTCAGATTAAATATTGGGACATGTACAGGAATCAAAAATACTACTTTAAATGTCATTCACCTATTTTAAAGCCATGTTTTAGCACTTTTTAGGCTAGCTAAAGTCTGATAGTGCTAGTTTTTACCATCTGTACTCACAAAGTTTGTTATTGAAAATTATTGCATGCAGGAGGGATCAAATTATTTATTATATTTTTATAAGTGGAAAAATCTCTCTAACCAACAAATGATTAAAGTAGTTACTGATTATTTTCTTAATTTATCCTCCTAACAGAATGGTAACAAAGCTTTTTTCAGCCGATTAAATGCACTTAGCTAATAAACCAAAATTTACTCTTTAAAAAAAATTTAAACTGTGTGGAATCTGGACAAGACTATGTTTCTCCTAGGAAAAACACATTTCATTGTAAATGGTTTTGATGGACAAAAATGTGACCACTTTTGAGAAAAGGTTATAATGGATTTTTTTAATTTTGAGAGAACCTCCAGTTCTCCTTGTTTAATTTATATCCATATTTTTAATTCAAATTATCTTGTAAGCTGCTATGCAAAATCTATTAAAAGCCCTACTTACTCAAAGAGTTAAACATTTTTGAAGCTTTCAGGGAAGACCTATAGACTTAAGCACTTTCTCTGCTTTTTTTGTATCTTAGACACTTATGCTGAATTATGTTCTTATTATTTTCACTGGTTATAAGCTATTGATTGTACATAATATTTAAACCATCCAAATATCCAGCATACATTTCCATGTCGCTGCCATCCACTGTTGACGCCATGAATGAAATGGCTGGTTAGAAAGCCAAAGGTCGTTTTCTTTCAATATCCAATGAAGTAAAATGCTGGATCTCTTTGGTCTCAAAGCATATTGAGATCTGCATATCTGTGTAAGGAAAAGAGACTTCTTTGGGATTCTGCTTAAACTTTAAGTTGAATTCGATTATAGTCATATTCATTTGTTTTATATATCTCTATCAGGTATATTACGTGCCAGGTGGTATTATATCCTACCTTGAAATTGGAAATCTCTTTCATTTAAATTTGAATTCTTATTGTGGCTTTTTTTTTTTCTCCATTAGATCAAAGTAGAGGAATCTGACATCTGCTACCATTCTCTCTGTGTCCCTATTTTAATTTTTTGGTAATCTACAATTATTTTGTTATATATACTGTCTTTAAAAATTGATAGCAGCAGTCCCCCAACCCCTGCCCCCCTTTTTAAGCTATATATTTCACTGTGCTGGGCATAGAGACACTCAATAAATGTGTGATGACAGACAATTCTAAAATAATTATGCTGTATATCAGGATTATATGTTTTTGAGCAATATAGCTATTCCTATGGTATAGGGATATTCAGTGAAATTTATTTTACACTAGTAATAGACTACTTAAGTGGTTGATTTGAAACCCTTTCTCTAAAGCACACACATAGCACATCTCTAAGCACACACAAACACATCTAGCAGATCAGTGATAATTTCAAGTTAAAGTAAGGTACAATTAATAGACAATAGAACACGTCTCTTTTTGACACTAGTTAAACTGCCAACTGGAATGGTTGTTGTGTATTAACTTGAAAAATATTTTAACAAGATTTCTTCTTTTATAAACTTGATAAACGTGAGCTTAATTTCTTGTCACCTCTATTCTTCCTTTCCATTTTAGGTGACTGAACCAAAGCATATTCTGGTTTTAAAAGTGAATCTACATTTGATATAATGCATAAATGTGCCGTTT